TCTATCTATCTATCTATCTATCTATCTATCTATCTATCTATCTATCTTAAGTTTTCGTGGGTACTTACATGTATGGTATTCAGCTTTGTTCAGGTATTTTTCCTCATCATTATAGTCGTGCTTTTAAAGTTGTAGCAACGTTTCGGCAGAATCTCATCTGCCATCATCAGGCTTCTGTATAGTGTTCGTCTGTGAGTCAGACTTTCACAGCCGTTTCTGTTTTAAATTTGGTGCTAGCCTACGCTGTGCCAGAATGGTTTTTTTCTTCATCCTGATTAGTTGGGAGTCTTGGTCTGTGTTTATTGGTCTTGGAATTTGCTGTGTTCTGCTTGATTGGTGTTTCTAATATCTTCTGTCTGTTTTGTAGATTTTTTTTTTTTGATTGGCTGGCAACGTTGTGTTTCCTGTATTGGAGGCTTTTAGTGCGGCTTGGCTCCAAGTAAATGGACGGCTATCATTTATTAGGAAGCTAGGTTTCATCTGGGTGCCTGGTTGGGGTGTGTTTGAGCTGGAGGTATCAGGGGGAGTTTGTTTGTGCCCAGGTGTTTGGCTGGCTTGTGGTGTGGGGATTTTTTCGTTTTAGAGTGCAGGCTTCCAGATAATTGACAGTCTGGTGGAGTCACAACTATAATGACGTGGGAAAATACCTGAACAAAGCTGAATACCATACATGTAAGTACCCATGAAAACTTAAGAAAACATATATATGTGTGTGTGTGTGTGTGTGTGTGTGTTTGTATTTGTATATGTGTATACATTCGTACAAGGATCAATTGTATAGAGGGTTTAAGATAAGGTTGAAAATAAGGTTCCACAAACTGTCGAGGATGAAAGTGTTTTTAACTGTTTTCTGATCTTTCTTTTTTTTTGTTCTTTTTTCTTTTCACATTTATGTACACGTTGTTTGTCTGTTTTAATTGTAAAATTAATAAAGTTTATTTTAAAAAAAGATAAATGTAAACATGAAGGCAATGATGTTTCATGCCAGGGCAGGAATATGCCATGAAATGTAAATAATCACTTTATATATTGTAGCATCTGCCCTTTTGGAGGGGTGGGGGTGGAATCAATTTGATAGTGAACTATATTTTATTTATTAATTTTTATGCCATCCATCTACCCTATAAGATGACTCTATATTTATGTATATATTTGATATTCAGGGGTATTTCTCTCTCCCCCCTCCCTCCCCCCTCTCCCCTCTCTTTCTGTGTATGTGTGTGTGTGTGTGTGCGTGCGTGCGTGCGTGCGTGTGGTGATATACATATTTATCTGCGTATATGTACTGTATATACATATAAGTATACATATACGTATGTACTGAGAATCTTCATAGATATTTTATGTATAACCTGTTGTTTCTTCCACTATCTAGATCCACTTACTTATTGTTTACAATAACTTTAAGGGCTAGGGTGACAGGAAAGAGAGAAAGAAGAGTTTATTATCTGATTGTGTAAAAATGAAACAGACTTATCTTTAAGGCTGTTTGTCAGACTAGATTCTTCAAGGTAAGAGAAATTAGAAGGAACGCCTCATATCTTTACTATCCAAGAAATATATTAATTTCCTTAGCTACTTTTCTGTCCTTTAATACAAAGGTAGATTTTACGGTCATTCTGTGTACCATTATTGTCACTTTCCATTCGATTCAAGGCTATGTGAAGCTGGCCAATCAACTGCCTTTTCTCCTTCTCTTAGTTTTTCAGAATTCACCAGTGCCAATGGTTGTTCTCTGAGCTAAGAAAGCTAGAATTATTGGTGACTGAATTTGGAATCTTGCACAACAACATGCTTGTTCTACTTGTTGGAGAAATAGTGTAGCTAGTGATTTAGGTAACCGAGATGGTGAACTAGGGCATGGGTAACTTTATTGATTAACTAACTTACTACCTCACATGAATTTTGTTTTGGGGAAAATGGAGAGAACAGAGGGCTATGTACTTTGCTTTGAATTCCTGTAGTCATAATGAGTATGAATTTATTTTTCACATTTTTAATACCCCTCTTCCTCAGAGAGGGACTTTCGGTATACAGTTGACCATCCTCATAAAAACTATTATTTATCTTCCTTTAAGTGCTTTGTTGGGCAGTATAGAAATAGCAAATTGTTGTCCTTAGTGTGTTTTTGTTAGCTATTGAAAACATTTACTTAAAAAATTAACTAAACACTTAAAAGGATTGCAGGTAATATTAAAACATCTTTTCATTTTTAATTAAGAATCATATATTTTATTTCTTTCATTGCCATTTTTATCAAGGCTTTTGTTCCATAATACGTAGATGTTTATAGGAGAGAGACATACATTCTTTATTTTCTGTCAGACTAAAATTACATCTCAATCAGATTTGTAATGAGAATTCTAATAGGTGTGACATCAACAATTGCCTCTTGCTAACAGCTCTCATAATTTAACCCTTCAGGTGCACAACTTGATTGATGAATTGCAGGCAGTCATCAAGAGCTACAAAGGTCATCTTTCTAAACTTGCCCCTCAGTTACAGGCTGAGCAGGAACAATGTTCTTCTTATGTCTACCAACATATTAAAGAACTCCCTACTTTTCCTTTGCAAGGGCTGCAGTTAAAGGTGGGTAGAGTTTACTAATCACTTATTTTTCACCTGTGTTTATTTAAAGCATCTGTTCGGTAATTTCCTGCAAATCTCCAATGTTTAATTTTGATTGTTCTAAGGAAAAGGTTTGTTCTTTTGCTTACAGTTATCTAGTTTTAAAGTTGGGATGCCCAGCATTAATTAGATGGGCATTATAAATTTATTGAAAGCCGCCTTGACACTTGTAAGGGCTGTTCTTCACCTAATGGATACAGTTATGAATGTCACATACTGCAACAACAATAATGCAACAGTGAAGTGTATCACATTTCTTTGCAGTAAACTTACTGATTAAAATTGTCAACACTAAAAATGTAAATTAGCTGGTTAATTTATAGAGTAGTTAAAACAGTATCATCCATCATGGATTATGGATTAAGTATAGTAAAGAAGGATAGACATACTGCTTTGAAGTACTGCCTATAGAGTAAGTTGAAAATTTATCATGATTATTTTAATTCTATGCTCACGATGTAGACAGGTATATATACTAGTCCATTACTGGTTTTCCCCCTTGAGGTACATTCCAGAACAGGACCATAACTAACTAACCACTTCCATATTACTATCAAAAATCAAGCCTGATTCCAGGGAGTATTTCTTTTCCTATCTTGGCAGTATTCCAAAAACAGTAAACAAATGTGGTATTATATTTGCAATATTTTGTTTTTTCAACTATTTCGAAAAAAGAAACCTTGCAAGTACTTCATTTTTTAATCTGGAAGATTATGGTGTTTTCAACAAGCCAATGACTGCAATTATTTCAAAACCAAAAATAAAATAAAATAAAAGAAGCATAAACTGAATAATGGTTTGAAACTGCTGGATGGATCCTTGAATAATAACCAAGGAAATATTATGTGCTAAGACATCACATCAGGCGTTACCTCTTCAGTCCTCATAAGGAGATGCACAAATCATTGATTGATTGCAATGCCTCCATTCTCAATTTTCTATCATCTTCTTCCATAATTACATCATAAATAAATAAATAGTTCCTGTGCTGCTCTTCTGTGATTTTAAAGATAAGAATATAGAAGTAGAACACTAGTTCAAATTAGTGGCCTACTCAGCCTAGCTAATTTTCTATCAAAGCCACCAAAACAGGAAAAAAAAACCATAATTATCCTATTTAGAAACCAAGTTCTATTTCTCATTCTTATCTAGAATCAACAAACAGTTGTGGTTATGGCATAGGTTAAGAGAACAGACAATTAGTTTTGCAGCTACAAGTGCTTTATCTGTATTCTTAGACCACAACAAGTAGTGATTTCATAAAACTTGAACAGGTTGTGCTTTGGATACCTCAGCCAAGTTTCTCTAAAATTTGGCACCAATGTAACTCAAGTATTCAGCAAGTCTCTTGCAAACTTGTCAAAGTAATCACCAGTTCACATATTAGAAGGTTTTGAAACACATGATTAAATTAGGCATAATATAAATAAGCCTTCTCTGCTATCATAAGTATGATCATATTCTGTACTGTGCAGTCATATTTGCAGCATTTTTTCTGCTATTACAATTCTATCCATCAGCAATGTTTCAATGTCCATAATTCCACTAGGATGTTTATTTTTTAAAAAAGTATGTTAAACAAACCTAGAAGACCAACAGTGATAGCCATGTAGCTTAACTCTTTTTGAAGTTAATCAGAAAACATATAATAAGGTTTTGTTCCAGACATTCTGATTTGCCTATTTTCTTCCAAGATTAACATAATTATGCTAATATAACCTGGAATTAGAATAGAGAATAATGAATATACTTTTATATTAGAAGAAAACTTCTTTTTTGGATTAGAGTACAAAACTATTTAAAAACAGTACATTCATATTTGAATGAGAATTTAAACACATGTTTAAATGTTTATATTTATATGTTTAAATGTTTATAGACAACTGAATTTACTTTTTTACTTCCTTCCTTCAACACTACTGCATCTACATAAAATAAACAATTTCTAAAAATCATGATAAATATAAATAAAATTTAGTAGTTTGACAATTACTAGTGAAAATGATAGAAATACCAAAATATAAAAATGTAGTAATTGTAATAATTGCAATAATGTAAAGTAAATAAAACAACATAAGACAAAATATTAAATAAACAAATTAAACCAATCTAACATAAATTTAAAGATGGCAACAGCAATGCTAAATCTAAGACTGATCCTCATTGAGGGATTTGATTGACTGATTGACAGAAATATTCAGAAATGTTTGAGTAGCATCTGAAATAAACAAAGTTTATGTAATACAATTATGGACATAATTAGATTAGAAACCAATGAAGAAAACCATGGACTGTTCATGCCAGATATGAGGAAGCCCTGAACAAAATCTTTCTAGAGATTCCTTCATTTATTTCTTTGCTTGGATATCCCTGACAATCCTGTTCTTCTTGGCAAGATACTTGGGTCACATATTTGATGCTCTTCTATCAGCTCACTTTATTTTCTGCTATACCTGCTGCTGATGGATGCTCCAGGCACTTGCATGTTCCTCTTCCTAAAATGTTATATAAGCCTGAGGACATTCTGCAGATATGGAGATATTAAGAAGGCTGAGAGCAGTCAAGTCAATGGTTTTGTATTAAATCCCTCTGGTATTGTTACTTAATGAACTTAACAAAAAAGAGAAAATAGCAATTTTCCAAGTTACTTGTTCAGTTTTGAATTTATAATCAAGAAGGAACTTGTTTATTGGTAAGTTGTATGAAATTGCTCAGACTGTAGATGAGGATGATTAATTTCTGTGCAGTTAAATATAAAACCTCTTTTGCATTGTGTATGTTTAGTCTGAGATCTTATATTTTAAGGGAATCCAGGATTTATATAAAAGAAAAGGCAAAGCATCAGTTCAGCTTAAGCACTATCATTCTTCTCTGTTTTTGTATTACTATGTCTATTTCCACTTCTCTGAACCTGAGTAGGAAATGGTTTTGGCAGTAATACAGGAAATAATAAATTGTTAGTGTAAAACCTACTGTGAAGTTTAACTTAACAGAACTTTAACTGTTTAGTATGGTGGAAGAACTAATGCTGCCATTTGTCTCATCACTATTTTTTTCCAGTTGGCAACTGCATTGGAAATATCTGTAGAGATATTCCATTGTATTTTTGTATTTTCAAATGGAGAATATGTTATAGCACTAGTGTTCTAATCAAATTTGTTATAGAAGTGTGAGACAGCAGATGCAAGACTTCAATGAGAGTGTGGTTCCAAAGTGTAAATGTACTGTAATGCTAATCAGATTTTATTTATTTATTAAATCTGTACAAAGCCTAGAATAGAATAGAATAGAATAGAATTCTTTATTGGCCAAGTGTGATTGGACACACAAGGAATTTGTCTTGGTGCAAATGCTCTCAGTATACATAAAAGAAGATACATTCGCCAAGAGTCAAGATTCATAAAGTGCAACACTTAATAATAGTCATAGGGTACAATAAGCAATCAAATCATACTAGGAAACAGTCAATATAAATCGTAAGTGTTGAAGTATTCCCCGTTAGGAGAATGAGTGCACTCAGGGAAACATAGTGAGAGTGGTGATGAATAACACACAACCAGCACACAGATACACTGAATAGTAAAATGTAAGTTTTACTTCCTGTAAATGGGTAAACGAAGTCCAACAAACAGTCCAAATCATACGCAGTTAAAGCAGTTAGTATTCAAAATAATCAGTCCAGGGATAATCCAAAAGCGAAGTCCTTTTCTTTACCAGTATCATAAACAAAGTTCAGTAAATGGAATTTGCGAATAGTTGCAAGACTCAGCAATTCAAGCAGAATGACGATCAGGCAAAAGTTAAAAGAAAAGCAAAGGAAATGCAAAAAAGAACAAACCAGGTTTCTGGGTCCATCTTATGGCCATTGGAGGAACCTCAACCAATCACAATTGCAACATTCTCTTAAAGATACAACAGTATTAAATGACTATCCTGGTTTATATATTGCCAACCGGTATTTTTTAAAAAAGCCTGAGCTGGGCCTCAGCTATAGGAGGGCCTTGCTGCTGCTTCTCTGTTGGTGTTGTTCTACAGATCTTACTCCTTTAGCTGGAAGTCTAGCAATGCCTAGCTTTGATGTGAGTTCTCTTATCTGATTTATTCTAGTTTTATCCACTATTTTTTATTATTTTATCATTTTTATTTACTCATGTTCTCTGCCCTGTCGGGAGGGCAGGATCTTTGGTATACTTGTGAGGAGCTCTGTCATTGTTTGAATTAGGACTCGTTTCTTCTTGACTCCTGATTCCTTTTCCTCTGGATTTAGGACTTGTTTCAGTTACTAGACTCTATGCTATATTAGACAGCTCCTCCTCTATTGTGCTACTTAATATAATGAAGACAAAGAAAAAGAGCAGATCTCTTACTGACCTGGTTCTTCAACCTTATCTGAAGCAATCCAAGTTTGAGGACTTTGTTTTAGCTTGGCCTCTCGGTTTGAAAGCTCCTGCTCCCTTTTGTCTGGCTGCTTCCAGTTGTCACGATCTTCCGACGGTTGAGGGCATCACCTCCGACTTAAGAACAAAGGCTTATCTAAAACTACGACCCCCAACCAATCCTTAAATGAGCCCGCCCTTACAGAACTTTTGGCTCAGCAATGTTTCTTGGTTGCAGAAACTACAGTGAGCATTCAGCTCCAGTTTGATAAAATATTAAGTACTTTAAACTACTTAGTTTCCTGGACTACCAGTGGGTGCCCTGGGTTGACCGCTTGGCAGCCTGATGCAGCGGCAGGGTTCTCCCTGCCAAGCCTCAGCAAAAGCACTGGCCAATGTAATCCTACCAATTGTTTGAACTTTACATCTTTTGACGCAAACAGTCACCTGGTCCTACAGTCAAAACAGGTGGCCCTCATCATTAATCCCATTAATGGCCACCCCAATTAATGGGGTTCAACACAGCTGGCGAGGGGCCATATATTACAGTTATTGGGGCTAAAAGCTGATGATTTGAAGAAGGTT